ATGATATTCGAAAATCATTCACGTGCTGCGACGTTTTCTGCATTGTGGTATTCTTAAAAATGTAGACAGATGGATCACAAAACCGTTATTTACCCATACACCATTAGTAAGGGAAATCATTCTCACACTATAAGCAATCTTCTAAAAATAACATCATAGCATTCCGTATAAACAAAGCAGCCGCTATTAACAAGATAATTACTTCAATACCATTAAAAGGACTTTTTTTTTTTTTTTTGCCCCTCCAAATATAAAGCCTGGAAGCACATTATTTCCTGTAACGGAGATTCTCTTAAATTAGCAACAGTTTAAAAAGCATCTATCTAACCGGTATTTAAGCACTACATAAAAAAAAAATTTATACCTATTTAAATTAATAGTAATTTGCAAAGGAACAATTAACGCTCATATATTTATATGGCTGAATCGATTTCACTTTATTCGGTATCATAACAAAATTATAATTAACTTTTCTATAAATTACGGAAAAAAATGTTATTTCAGGAAATACAGTCTATTTGCATAAAAAATTATCGGAATAAAATTACAAGGCAAAAGCTATTTTCCTATAGTCTTATAAAATATTATTCACTTCTAATAAATATGAAAGGAAGATTCCATTTGGGCTTCAGGAAAGAATATAGCTCGATTTATCACAAAAAATTACAAACAAAGCAAGTAAAATAAAATACAGATGATTATATAATGAATAATAATTATTAATAAGATTACATTAGGAATGGCGGAGATAACTTTGTAGAGACATTAGGTTGTTTCGATGCTGGAGAGATGAAAAATGAGCAATGCTCTCGCCGGAACTCGAACCACGAACCTCTCGAATACGCGTCGAGCGTGCTGACCACTATACTACGAAGGTATGCTAAGAAGGCGAGACAAATTACTTAGACTTATAACTTCAGCAAGATTTGAATTACATTATATATTTAAATTACATTCCATGTTTTACTTTGTTAAATAAAAGTTGGGGTGGGGAAAGAGCAGAGATGACTACGAATAGTTAAATACACATAATTTGAATTCTAAGGAGTTTTTAATGTTTTTAGAGAAAACATAAACAGAGTTATGAAGTAATATTCACATGTCTCCTAGGTGAATCAAATCTACCAACTAGATGACTGAAATTACAGATTTTTTTCTGATACGGAAAATTAAATAATTTTTCCTATGTGTTTTCCAGTTCAAACATACTTTTTACAGAATCTCCGAATAAAATTGAGAAGTTAATTAACGGACTTTTGAGTTAATAAATTAGTTTGGGATAGTTAATACTAATTACCAACTACATTTTATTAGCATAAAATCCTTAAATATAAATCAGTTCTAATTCACTCTGTACGTAGTTCAAATGCTGACACTGAGGAAAAAGTTTTTAATTCGTTTTTTAACTTATAATTTCTAGACTACTTCCAGTAAAGTACACTAATGATAATAATAATAATAATAATAATAAAGCCCGCCGTCGGCTGTAAAGACAATTTCATAAATTGTGGCAACAACAACACACGAGGGGTATTTGACTAAATCGGGGGTTCTCAACCCTTTTTTTGCTATTGCTAGACGTGACATTATCCCCTCCCCCCCGTCATTTTCAAACTTCAACAGATATATATACATTTATTTAAATTTAAATTATTTTTAATGTGTTTCGTACATTGAACAAGAGAAAGCCTAGAAAATGTTGATAAAGACCCAAACTTGAATAAAAGTAGTTTTTTTATATTCATAAAACTACAACTAAATTCTTAAGAGGTAAATAATTGACCGCATCCCTCCTGAAACTATGAAATCCCCTTCTCGGTTGAGAGAAACTCTGGTGGGAAAATATGTTCGTACTTTTAACGGAAAATATGTTCGTACTTACGCTATACATGAGGAAAATAAAGAAAATATACAAGCAGCCGCTCATTTTGTCACAAGGAAACAAACTCTAGCAACATTCTGAGGTTTTATTTACTCTGAAATTGATGCGCTTCATTATTTAAAAGCAGACAAACTATCACGGACCTCCAGAAAATAAATATTCCTCAAACTCTGAAAGTTATCCAGCATGAAACAAGCCAGTTCATGGAAGTCTTTCTTCACAGCATTGGATAATATAAAGACACAATTTTTTCTCCATATAAGGTTATTTTAAATGGCATGTTATGTTATTAATCCGATATGAAAATTACTTTTCCTCACTTTCTTTTATCTTCCAAAAACAGTGCAATTAATATCAAAGACACCAATATTACTTAGAAAATGTTATTCGTTATTGTCATTCAAGCGGATACTTTTTCCCCTAGATGAAAATGTTGATGGTAGGTTAAAGCATATTCTTCTGCAGAAGATATAACACTAAGCAATATAGATCTAAGAATGGATGGAACATTACAACCTCTTTTCTTCTTAGCATAACCAGAATATCATATTATTCATGCGTTGTTAATTTACGTTTCATTCCAAAGAGATAAAATACAGTTGCACTGACTAGGGTTCAAAAATTTTATACTTTATAATTTTTTTTTTTTAAATATAAATTACCACTTTTTAAAAATTTACAATTCCCCCCCCCTCTACCAGATTTCTTGACTACCGTTGAGATTTAAAACACGAATCTATTTCAAGTTAATAATGATCAAGTTTAAAGTCGTTTTTATAAAAACTAATCACGTAAATAAAGTTTTAAATATCTCACAGATATAAGAAAGTAAAACAGCAAATTTTAGAAAATAATAATAATATTTCGGAACTACAGTTAAAAATAATGAATTAACAATGTGACTTACCACTGTTTCTGAAAACACTGAAATATAAAATCTTGAAAAATTAACTAATTTGTTCCCACATTAATTAGACAATTCAGCTCCCTTATTTACGGGATGCAACCTAAGTTTCAACCAGAGTATCAAAAAGTAATAATATTTGCGAATTTTAAATGCAATATTATACTTCTCAAAACAAACGGAGTATGAAATGAAATAAATCTTAAAAATTGGGCATTGCAGGTAACAGGTTAATATCATACGTCTTCAAAAGGAGGAGGGGATTTCCGAAGATTTCAACTTTGAAAAATCATTATGCACTATGAATTCAAACATATAACTTAAAAAGCTATGTATCACATACTGTTCTTCCCCAAACTTGATTTTTTTTTATCAAATACTAGCTAACTAAATTGAATTTTTGAACACTTTTATTGATTCATTTAAAAAGCATTTTAAATATTCCCTCTTTCAAACGGAAAACAAGATTGACTATGTACTCCACTTCCATTCTGTACAGAAAATCTGAAATCAGACCTTAGAATACATAATACAATGATTATAAATGAATCTTACAATATTGAGCACTTTATTAGCAGTTCCTCGATTATTGTTAAGTTTCAAAGTTTCACATGTAAAAATGGACAGCAAAAAATCGGCAATAAAAGCAAAGACAATGACAAATAAGATAACTTACCATAATTAATTTCTTAAATATTAAAATTACCCAAATAATTTAAAGTCTAATTGCTTTTCCTATGCAGTTGAGAAATTGCTGTAGTACGATCTTTGTGGAATCGGGACTAGCACTATTGATTGTGAATGTATAGCAATAAAGCTTTTCAATAAATGTAATCTTTAAGCCATTTTATTCACGCTTTTAAATTGTTAGTTATTTAGTATTTCCTCCTTTGGACTCTGGTACTTCATAATATCAACGCAAAATATTAAACTGATTTCTAAAATGCAGCTATCAAGAGAATAAAGGTATGATTCAGATTAATGATACAGATTAACAGAATTCAACAGGAATCCCAATTTACCATAAAGAATTTATAGTACTACTATAAAAAGGTAATTCGTTTTAACATATAAAGCAGACATACTGAGACATACTTCTTTAAAATCATGCAAGAAAATTCAATTTAGAAAGAATCTAGTTCAAGTTTTAAAAGACAGAGAATGCAAAACATCAAGTAGTACATTGAATCAAGCTTATTTTAGGTATGTAATTCTGAGCAATGGAAATAATTTGCAATAGTTCAACAAGGTTTCAGTTTAAATGGAGATAAAAGATCTCAATGCGTGGAAAGTTGCAATAAGATTGATACTTTCTAAAAGCATTCGACAAAAGAATCCTCTTAACTCCTTCAGAATATTTGTCCTGAACTTTTACTTGACCAACATTTTATTTTTAAAATAAACGTTCAAATATTTTTCCTCTTTTTAACCGTAATTTAATATTAAACTTCTAGTGACATCAATGATGTGGATTTCAAAAAGCGTCGAGTTAACAACAATTGAAGAAGAAGAATATATACATTCATTCCTTAAATTAAGAATTCCATCCTTCCAGTCACTGATTTAAAATAGGAATCGAGTTACATCCACTACACCTTATTAATTAATCTGCCTATGTCTTAATCTAGGCACTTTTTGCTGATACATGTTAATTTTAACAACTGTTCAGTCGAACAGCGAAATCCTGAGAAAAGGTACAGAGAGCAACATCAGTCTTACGGTATCAGATAATTGAGGATTTTAAGTTAATTAATGTACACTCCTAAATAATTACAATGAAAAGGTACTTATGCGATGCTTATAAAATTGGAAGACCTTACATAAAACCCGTTCCAATTCTGCGAAGCAGGCAGCAAAACGGTAGTGAATTAAAATACAAATGTAGTAGGACCCAGTTTTCTTTTGACTGAACACGCATACATGTTAAATTAAAATAAAAATGCTAAACATAAAATAAGCAAGTAGTGAAGATAGTCCATAATTGATAGTAATATTGCATTTCTATCGTTTTTAAGAACGTATCTCATTCATGCATGAATGATGCATAACCCTAAAGTTTCATCTCTACAGTACACGCAGGGAAATTAAAAGGTGCTTTCTTACATTTTCTTTTGCAGTTTTCCAAGCTAAGCAAAAGGAGATAAAGCTTTTTTTTTTTTTTTTCTAAATTCGTGTGGTAATCAACAACAAAAAGAAAGTAAATAATATACCATCTTTTTTATATAAATAAGAGCTTTATAAGTTCAAGAGCTACAAACATATAATCATAAGTAATTCACAGATTACAAACGTACAATCACAGGCAATTCACATAAAACTGCTGAAGGCAGTAAGTCACTGTCACAAGAAAAAATATCAAACAAGGTTTTTCACTTAGCACTTGGGCAGAAAAGATGATTTGTCTTCAACTTCCACTGCTGATGAGTTGATTGTGGCATGGATCGAAGAAAGTTAGCAAGCTGTATAGTTCGCCCGTTTGGTGTAGTTCTAAACTATACAACCTACTACCTCACTCCGAACGCATGCTTTTCGCTTTCTTTCAAGCCGTTGAGTACTCGGGTTAAGGATAGCTGTAGGAGAGAATACACACAAAATTAAAACACGTCTATATGATAGACATTACAAGCAAAGACTCTTTACGAAGCAAAAGACCTTTTACGAAATATAACAATTAATCTGCTCGTTCTGCTCTGTGAAAAACTTACCAAGCTCGACATTCTCAAAACTAATGCAATTTCATTTTTGGAAGTATTTTTTCATGCATACTCATAATGAAAAATAATAAATAATTCATAAATACTAGTAGCAACATAATTTTTCATGTCAGATAACAAGATATAGCGACAATTACATGGCAATACTTATTCTTTTGCAATTCAAGTCAGAAAGGTATCTTTTCCGTAACAGGGGATACTTCTAATTTCAAACAATGCGTTCCTAGCACGTGTTTTATATGAATAATATACCATCGACACTGAAATCGGTTAAACCTCATGCCGTTTTCTTTTTATTCTATCAGTTACCAAGGGCAGATATTAATGCCCTGAAGAAGTCTCGAAAAATAAGCTCTGGATATTGCACTAATGGCTCGTGTATTTTGGTTTTTTCTTATTGGTCAGACGAGACAAAAAAATGAGGTTATCGCCCAGTTTATGAACGAAGCCTGCTATTGGTCAGTTGACTGGGCGTCCCTGTTGGAAGAAATCGACCCGCTGACCTTCTCAGCCACCCTAATGACAAAGATGGGGGAGTTGAGGGAGAATGATTACATTTATGCCATTAAATTATTCGAATAAATTTTGACATAAAAATATGGCGATATCATTTCCCTAGAAAGGAAATATATTCACAACTTGGGCATAATTTTTGTTTTTAATATTCATATACACAAAAACCTTAAGCTCCTAAATAAGTGCTATGCAGTAATGTATTTTTCAAGCTTCTCACACAATGTTCCACATTTCTTTGACTTTAAAACACGTTATTAGAGGGAAAAAGAGCTAAACTACACTTAATTTTAGCAATTTTTAAAAATTTACATTTTTATAATCGATTGCGATTTATCAAGAGTAATACTAGATCTGTTTAAATCAGCAATTTGGAAAAATGCGTAGTTTCAGAATTCAGAAAAGTCTGCAATTTTTTAAAAGTACTTTGTTTTTTAGCGACATTTTATATGTAAAAATGATCTATTTATAAACGAAGAATTAAGACAATAATTACATAAATAATAAATCGGAATCTTTTTGCAAAGCAAAACTTTTATAGGGGAGGGGAGGATTATGAATACTTCTTACTGAACGTTGTGTTAAAAAGACGAGAAGGAAGTTATCAGATAATTTTTAACCTTCTAGACTTGAATCACCAGACAAGTATTTTTTAAATCCTAAACAAATTTCAGTTCATTAGGAGATATTAAACAGTATTTACGCAAATTTCTCTAAATGAATTAATTCATTAATTTTCTAATCAATGACCTTTCCTCTTTAGGAGGATATATATATGTTTCTAATTAAAATTTACTTTGTTTTTTCCTTGCTTTGGAGAAGGGCCAGAATTTTCGGGTGAACTATTATAATTATAACTGAAATACATTCAAATGGTTTATCGGCTAATTCTGGATACAGAAAAGCAAGGATTTTTGTAGAAGAGGAATTTCAATTAGTTTCAAAGTTACCCCCCCCCCTGATGAAGTGACACTGAGATTGATTGAACTCCTCTTCTGTTTTTGTTCAATTTTCTTTTAATTTCATGGTTTTTGAAGAAGGGTTTGGCTTGTTTGAAATGTTTTGGTTTTAAAATTTTTAAATTCATTGTTTCATTTTTATGTTTATTTGACATTTATTAATTAGGAATTTCATTTTCTGGTCTTTGTGAAATATTAGTTCTAAATTTCTGACTTTATGTCTTTAATGATATATATATAATAAGGAAACTTTCTATATACCATCTCCAAGGAACACAAATTCTATTCAAAACCATGAGAGAAACCCCCCTCCCTTGGCTTAAATGGCTTAATGTCTTTATTTGGATTGAGTATTAATTTTGACTTATGGTTTGAATCTCGCAAATAATTTAATGCTTACTTGGAAGTAAGATGAAGCACCCTCTTAATTTAGTTGTAGTTAATTGATAGTAGATCGGTTTATACCCTTGATAAGTCGATTAATCTGCGATCAATGACAATAACTACTTTTTCAATATTTGAATTTACTTCTGGTTTTGATAATTTTGCGATTTAAGATTTTTCTTTGCAGATTTTTAAACAAGCAGTTGAAATTAATAATTTAAATTCTGACTTAAAAAAATCTTTCATGGTTTTAAATTGAATTTGTGTTCCTTGGAGATGGCATATGGAAAGTTTCCTTATTATGAATTATAACTTTATTACTTTGCAGCTTTAGCTTTTTATTTACTTTTATTACTTTTTGCAAGCAAGTCATAGGCTTTTTAATTTACTTTTAATTACTTTATTTTGAATTTATATATATACATAATTCTACACTAAGTTTATAAGTTAAGGAAAGTATGTGAAAGAAACTAATAAGATATATGTTCTGGGAGTAACTGCATAGCTCTTCAAGAAGTTTTTATGACCAAAAATCCGATTTTTAATTTATTCATTAAATGCTCTGAATAAGGCTCCAGCAATTTGTTTTACCACTATTTAAAAACATACTGAATTTGATCTACTTCTTTATATTAGAATTTTAAATTTATTATACTTTCAAGAAGTTTTTATTATAAAAATATAAATATTCCGATGAATTATGAAGGGGTATAATTTAAAAAGAAGACAAATTTAATTCTGAGCTTAAATAGGAGAGGTCGCTAAAATTTCATTGTTAAACAACCCTTAATTTCGAACTTAGGCCTGACGTACAATGGCCAGCTCGACTGTATTAAAACAACACTACATTAAAATCGATTAAATGTATTTAAAGTTGAAAAATTGTAAAATTAATATTCCTGCCTTAAAAAAAAGTATTAATACAATCCAATACGCACTGTTAATATTTACATTCATTGTTTGATAATGCTTGTTAACTAGCAAATTTAAATGATCCATATATTCACACATGATAATTTAATTATAGATCTTTTATTCTCATATGTAATATTATTCAAAACTCTATATTCTGAAACATTTTAATAACAGTGAAAAATTAATATCAGCTCACAGTATCGCGTTTATCATATATTACACGAAAAAACTCCATTCCAGAAGAATATATCGTTTCAGATATCACTGTTTAACTGAACATCAATTCGGAATACAAAAAAATATATTTTAATTTCATAGTGATGAGACTGTTAAATCGACGAATGCTTTTGAGGAAGTGCACAGCCATTAGAGATAAAGCCCCTCCTGTAATATAATAATAATAATAATAAAAAGCTAATTTTTATTTGCATTTCACCTGACACAAATCACATTTAATAGATATTTTATGCAATATAAAAATTACTACCACAAATCACATTTTAAAATTTGGTTAGAAAAGCCAACTGCAAAACAGCTGGGCCGATTCAAATTCTAGAGATAGCACGAATGTTTGTAAGGCTGGTATCACACATCCATTTATTTCGGACGAACAACTGTTTCTAAACAATTTTTCTATCTGCTTTACCCTTGAAAGAAGAAACATGAAAGATTTTTTCCTTTGTTTCGGGGGGGGGGACTTACAATTTATTCATTTTCAACAACCAATCAGCTATCAGCATCGAATCCCCCATCATCAACCCTCATTTGTATCGTAGAACTAATTTTCCCTTTATATGATAATCCCAAAACAATCCGTTGTGACTGGCTGCTTCATAGCATGTGACAAAGCAGAAAAATTGTCCTGCAGAGTTGTTCTTCCAAAATGTCTTGAATGTGTGATACGATCTTAAATGTATAAATTATTTACAAAAATAACACCTTTGCGGTTTGTGGGGCACGTAATGTGTTAAAAATCTTTTTTGGCTCATTTAACTCTATTGCATATTTCGTGTAGCATTGATTGGGGGGGGGGGGGGGAACTAAGAACTGTGTAGTTTTCGCTCCTCACTTACAAGTAGTCTGACTGTTCCAAGCTTCATTTAAAAAATATACTGATCGACAATCAGTTCAATTCAAGCCTACAAAAGAAATTGGACCATTCGATGTAGCATTAAAAACAGATAAATAGTTAATACGAAATAGATCAATTAAAAAAAATTATAAGAAATTAAAAAATAAATCAAAATTTACCAAATACACAACTATATACGGCAAGAGTTAATTTGGACTTCTAGTTGTGGTACAGATGATAGAAAAGAAAACATAGCCTATTCACCCGTAAAAAAAAAAAAAAAAAAAAAAAAAAAAAAAAAAAAAAAATTCATATTTCAATCGTTTACCTGTCAAACTTCTAAATTCGGACTTACTTCTATATAAATTACTTATTTTTTTTTTCAAGTTTTATGTAATTACTCATTATTTCAATACCTATTTTGTTTGTACTTGATTTTTAAAATAATTCCTTTCAGGAAAAAATAACATAATTTTCACCGTAAATAGATATTTCGGATTATTTCTCATTTCATTTAAATTTACTACAATTGAAATCACACAAAAAATTCAAACAGGTCCGAAATTTAAAAAAAAATTATAATGATCATAAAGCTATTCGGGAATTGTTAAATGACATTCTCAAAAAGTATATAAAAATGGGCAATATAAGGAAAACCTCCAAATATTAAAAGCATATTACCACTAGTATGAAACTAAGTTAAAAAAAATACATTGCCAGGATTGCAAGCTATACACTATTACAAAATTTCTTTACTTTCATTAGATATTTATTGTAGGTGAGGATAAGTTACAAACTACACAATCGATGTAATTTTCCTTCGTATATAATGCGAGAAACACATTTTATTCAATTACAGTTATGGCACAAAATCTTAATAATACCGGATAAAATTATTTTTTAAATGATTCACTTTGTTAAACTAGTTAACAATGCTCTTTCATAATAGACAGACGTTAGACCTCGGCGATTAGTAATTGTCTTGTTTCATTAAATAATTGAGGCAAAGTTAC